GCCTGGGGACACTCTGAGCGGGAGGCTCCTGGAGGCCTCACAGGGGTGCCTCCGCATCCCGCCCCATGGGCAAAAAAGGGAGTACAAAGCGGGGAAAAGGGGACAGGTGGTGACCGGTATTGGCCACAGACAGTGAGGTGTTTTTCTTCTCCCATCTCACTGAATGCTCGAACCACCCATTGAAGTTGATTGTACATTTTACAGAGAAGTAAACTGAGGCTCAGGGAGAAGAATCATTGACCCAGAGTGACAGTTTGTAGATGGTAGGCGCCAGAATGTAAACCCAGGCCTGTGGGGCTTCAGGCCTTGTCTCAGGTTGTTTGGGGGTGGGGCGGCGGCCCAGCGAAGCAGGAAGAAGGGACGGAGGAGGCAGCGAGGAGGTCCGGCCCAGCCACGGCAGCTGGGAGCTGCAGAGCTGGCGGGTCTCAGGGAGCCAGGATGGGACCTAGAGGTGAGTGGGGACCTCCCAGACTGCCAGGCCACCCTGCTGCCAGCCTAGTGAGAAACTAGAAGAGAGGTCCCTGTCCAAGGGTCCACTGGACCAGTATCGGCTAGAGATTAGGTTTCCCATTCGTGGGCCGCAAGGCAACTTTATCATTGCAACAACACTGCAGGTAGAAGTCAATGATTTAGGAAGTCACTGAATTAGGGCGTTGAGCTGGCTAGTCAGTGCCTGAGCATGTCGGTTAGGTGTCCCGTACCGAGTCGGGGGAAGTGGCTTGGAGTGGCCAAGCCGGGGGTCGAATGGATGCCGACGACTCAGTGCCTGCTTTGCAGAATTGATAACTGAATATTGGCAAGTTAGAGCCGCCACAGTGGTAATTAGCACCCCGGGTGTCAGTCAGAGCCGACCAACAGCCAGATCCCTTCAGCGGCGCCCAGCCTACCCAGCAGCGGGACGATTAACCATTAACCCCCACCCTCCCTGCAGAGCCTCCACCCCTGCGCCTAGGCTCCCAGAAGACACTCTGAAAGGAAGGGAGGCAGAGAAGGGACCTGGGAGGAGGCAGGGGGAGGGTGGAGGGCGGGCGCTGGGGCTCAGCCCAGAGGCTTCAGGGTGGGCATCGCGGGCAGGGTGGGGGCGAGGTGTGGAGGCAGGGGAGAATGCGCCTCTCCAAAACCTTGGTCGACATGGACATGGCTGACTACAGTGCTGCGCTGGACCCAGCCTACACCACCCTGGAATTCGAGAACGTGCAGGTGTTGGCGATGGGCAATGGTAGGTGGGGGCAGGTGTGCCAGTGGGAACAGGTGTGCCCAGGTGTGGGAGCGGATCTTTGGCCCTTGACTTTGGGTGGGAGGAGAATGACCGAAAATGGTCCTGTAGGCAAGTACAGGGGTTGCCAGGTGAAGCAAATGTGGCCAGGGACAGCCACCCGGGGCATTCTGGGTGAGGGAGAGCCTGCAGGGGCAAATTTCCAGCAAAAGTAGATCCCGGGTATCCCCCAGGCCCTTCCACAGTCCCTGTGACCTCACAGCTGTCCTGCTCTGTGTATCACTGGAAACAGAGAGACACGATGGTGAGCTCCCTCTGGGTATCGGGCTCCAGTGATTCAGCCCAACATGGCCCCCTCCTGGGCTTAGGTCAGAGAGCTGGAAAGGTTCGTCCCGTCCCTGGCGACAATGGTGCTATAGACATAGCTGTATCTCAGAGCGCCTTTGGAACTTTCCTGGAGAATGGGAGGTTGGGGAAAATGGAGTCCTCAGGGCAGCTTTGCTGACGAAGGAGCTATGTGTATGGTGTGTGAGATCAGGTGTGTGATCCCGTTTCTGTGTATGTGTGTGAGTGGGGTGGTATACTGCGTGGGCAAACGTGTACCTGGGGAACTATGTCTGCATATTTGTGTTCATGTGTGTATTTGTGTTCTGTGTCCGTTTCCATTTGTACTTCTCCGTGGACTGGGCCTACACTTGTGTCTCCAGGGGTGCCTATGTTTGTCCAGCTTGTGTGTGTAAGTGATGTATGTGTGTACGTGTGTCTGTGGATATTTGTGCATGTGTGCTACATAGGTGGGTCACTGACCGGAAACGATTGTGAATGTGGGCACATTTGTTTACGCTGTGCTTTCTGCATATACGTCCTGTGTAGCATTATGCATGCGCCCATTTTCAGACCTGTGTGCATGTTGTCTGCACCCTCAGAGTGAGAGGCTTTGATATTGCCATTTGCCAGTGGAGGAACATATCTCTCTCTGAACAGATTTTGTTACTTGGTGCGTCTCCCCCATTTGTACACTCCAGCATCACTGGGACATCTCTGTAGCACACGGATTGTTCTCCTCCACAAGGAAATGGAGGAAAGGAGGAGGCCCGCGAGCCAGGAACCTCCTGGAGAAGGGCCTAATGAGTTCCAGGCCAGCCTCAGAGAAGAGGTGGCAGCTGGCCGAGGTCAGCCTGCCACCCGCTTTCCTGCCATGGCTCTGAGCCACACGGCCGGTGTCAGGCTGCAGCTCGGCTGAGCTCTGGAGAGCTCGTGGTCAGTAGAGCAAGGAAGAGGAAGCAGCAGCTGGACGCTGGGTCAGTCTCACCAGGTGCTCACCTGGCCCTGCCATCCATCTACCATGTGACCTTGGGCTCATCGTCTCCTCTCTTGGCCTCTATCTTCTAAAAAAATGGGCTCCTTCTCCCCTGGGCTCAAGGAGCTGCTGGCCAGCTGGCTTCTAGAAGATCTGGGGATCATGTGAGGGGTTCGAGGGGAAAACACACTGGAAATAGCAGACAAGTTGCTGCTGCACTTGGCGGGAACAGTATGTACTGTCACACTCCTGGCCACTCAGCCAGGGAATCATGGCTTCCTGGGGCAGAGGCCAGGCCCCTTGGCTAGATGTCCCAAAGACACGACACAACTCTAGAGCCAGAAAGATCCTCCCTGTCTGTGTGAATCTGGCAAGCCATTTTCCTCCCTGGCCTCAGTTTCCTTATCTATACAGTGGGATAAGTAGTAGCGCCTGCCTCCCAGGGCTAACCAGAAGACAAAATAAGATAAGGTTCCTGAGTGCTGAGTCCTACTGGCTGGCCCAGCCCCATGTGGGGCTCCTCTAGGACTCTAAGCAGGGTCTGCATCCCCCACTGGAATTCACAGTGATTGGGGTACTAGGGCTATATGAAGTTGTCCTCCAAAGTGTTCTGGGTACATCTTGAGCTGGTGGCTCAAAGGACATCTCCCCACCCAGGGAAAGCTGCTCTCCCATCCCCCACTCCACTCCAGGAGCAACAGCAGGAAGTCCTAGCTTCTTCAGCTTCTGAGGGACACCCCTGCCTGCCTGTGCCGTATGGTGGGAGCCATCCCCCACACCCAACCCAGGCCCTCTACTTAGCAGTGTTGGCAGTGCTGGACAGGTCATTGTCCTCTCTGAGCCTCACTCTCCTCACCTGGAGAATGGGGGTGGCCCACTGACTTCAGGGGGAAGACGATCTGCCCCACGGTACCCAGCCAGTCCTTCCCCAGCCTCTTGCTGAGTGGCAGGAAGGTGGGGTCAGCTCTTCCCTGGGCTTGGGGGAGGAGAAGCCGGGGGGAGAAAGGACACCAATGCAGCTTAACAATTATCCCTGTCTCCAGGAATAATTCACCAGGCAGAGGGGGCCGCCCTCCTGGGCACACTTGGGAGGCCTAGGAGATGTTCAGCTGGGCAACAGCAGAAGTGAGGTGTGGGCTGCCAGTCACCTGCTTCGAGACTTTTCTTCTGCAGAGAAGTGTTCTTCCACGAATGAGGATCTAGAGCTTACCGTGTGCCAAGCACTTCATACGCACCGATTTGCGGAGTCCTCAGAATCGCCCTAGGGGATTATGATGCACCCTGTTTTACAGTCAAGGAAACAAAGGCATGAGAAATAAACTGACCTGGCCAATGTCATGTGACTGAGTGGGGCCAGCTAGGTTTTGATCCTGGGCTGAAGAGCTTCACAATCTGTGTTCTTTATTTAGCTCACAATTTGTAGAGATGTCATTCCATAGTCTGCTGGCTTGAAAGCAAGATGGTGCAGCAGACAGGCATCACAGAGGAGAAACAGTTTGTGTTGGGCAGAAGGTAGCAAAGCAACAAGGGACCTTATCAGCTTCTTTTTTTTTTTTTTTTTTTGTAGTAGGAATTGAACTCAGGACCTTGCACTTGCCATGCAGGCACTTAGGCCGCTGAGCTATATTCCCAGCCCCACAGTCTGTGTTCTTGATAATAGTGCTACAGCCCTCTTCCTAACTGGATATCCCCTTAGGAATCAAAAGCCAGTTTCAGAGTTTCTCTGGAAACACAAGTGTGTCTTCTTCCCTGAAGAGTCTATCTTTGGTGGACAGTTTGCTTACAGAAAAGGGGACTCGACTGCTGATGTTTTTTAAAAAATCTGTAGCCTGATCAATTTACTTAGGCAATCAGGAAGTAAGGAAAAGGAACTTGCCCAAGGTCACAAATGGCTTAGTGACAGCATTAGCACAAGGGCCCAGGACCCTTGGCACCCAAGCCAAATTCCTCTTTGTGGATGGCTTCCAATCTCCCTCCTCACATTTAGGTAGGTGTGGTCATCTCACCCCTGGCCTGGGAGGCGTTGGAGAGGTGCCTAGGCCTTTGCCACACCCCCTACCCCCAGGAAAGAATGAATATTCTCAGTGCGTGTCTTCCCTGCGCCCTGTCAGCAGGGCATGGGCACAAGCTGAGGTGCACCCAGCTCTGGTCACTCAGGGAGGAAGAGGGACAGCGCCTGGTTCTGGGGAAAAATGTGGAGTAATTGTCTTTCTAGAGCCCCTTTGCCCAACTACGAGTCTAGAAGGACTGAATGCACCTAGAATTGGCCAGATGTTTGTTCCTCTGAGAGAGTCGGGAGTAGCATCCTCCTGAGGGAGGAGCAGGCCCTTTATAAATGTGAAACTGAGGCTCCAAAAGGCCGAGTGACCTTCCCAAGGTCACACAACAGAAATGGCCCCCAGTTCTGGTGAAGATCCCCACAAGGCTACTGGTTTCTGACTTCCTGCCCTTCCCAGGTCTTGACTCCCTTCTCTTCCGGCACAGATACATCTCCATCAGAAGGTGCCAACCTCAACGCACCCAACAGCCTGGGTGTCAGTGCCCTCTGTGCCATCTGCGGGGACCGGGCCACAGGCAAGCACTATGGTGCCTCGAGTTGTGACGGCTGCAAAGGTTTCTTCCGGAGGAGCGTGAGGAAAAACCACATGTACTCCTGCAGGTGAGGAGCCCCACTCAGGCCTTGATTTCTTCAGCTGGAAAATGGGTGCACATGGACTGTCTTCTTCCTGGGTGGGTCCTGGAGGCATCTGCCCTTCACAGTCTTCCAGATTCTTCTGGTTTCTTAGGCCTTGTGGATCCAGGTGAGAACATCTACTTGAGTAGCCCTATTTTCTGACCCTAAAGAGCATGGAACCTGTCCTCCAACCAGGCACTTTTTCTGGGACAAGTAGGGGACTGGCCCCTGGCCTTTCTTCCTACCCCAAAGGCTACCCAAGGCTTTGGAGATCCCTCTTTCAAAAGCATCTACCATTTTGGATAAGAACAATAATAAAATCTTAGCAGCTGTCAATTGTGAGCACCCACCATGTGCAGAATCTGTGCCAAGCCCCATCTACGTGTTATCTTATTGTCATCTGTCAGTACCCCTTGGGGTTGGGTACTACTATCATTCCCATTTAACAGATGAGAAAGTTATGGCTTGGAGGGCTAGCGTTTTTCCCAGGTTCCCCCAGATCCACCATCCATCACCATGTCTACCTCACCTCTACCCCCGGCCCCAGAGTCTCTGTGGACCAAGGATTGATTTGAAACCAGGACCAGGGTCTGTTATGGTCTCTGCATGCTCACAGGATGTGGAAGAACAGCTCTTAGGAGACTGAAGTTTCCTACTCAGCTCTGCTCAGCCAGCTGAGTGACCCAGGGTCTTCTGTTGCTGTCCCTGTGTTTGGCAGCGTAGACTGGACTCTCAGAGAGTCCCTAGGACCCTGCAGCTCCTGAGCAGTTTGCATGGGAATTCCTGGGGTACAGAGATACAGCAAGGAGGTTGGGGCTGGACATTTGTCTTAAGAGGAGGCTGTGTCTTCTCTATCCAACCATCTAAAGTTCTCCCTAGATTCAGCCGGCAGTGCGTGGTGGACAAAGACAAGAGGAACCAGTGCCGTTACTGCAGGCTCAAGAAGTGCTTCCGGGCTGGCATGAAGAAGGAAGGTGAGCTCGGCCCTCCCCGTAACCCCGCCGCCCCACCTGCGCCAACTGGGAGATCTACCGTCATTTACAACTGTAGCCACACTTTATGGCTGGGTGACAGGCCCCAGCGGGACTGGCTAATGGCTGAGAGGAGGGAGGGCCTGGGGATCTGACCACAGGGAGTGGCTGGGCTTGGTCTTGAGAAAGATGCAGAGATAAGCTCCCGCTGAGCCACTCAGGCTCCCAGCAACTGCCACCCGGCTTGCTGGTGCCACCCAGGGCAGCCAAGGGGTGTGCTTTCCCTCAATCTAGTATTTCTAACATCCGGAAAAGCAGACAGCGTGACATCCCAGCTCCCCCAGACTTCACAGAGGTGCACAGCGGGGGCTCCGTTCCTGACCTTCTTGTCCAGGGGCAAGTGCCTCAGCCCCTTAGTTTTCCTCCTTGGAGAGCAGGTGACCTCCAGGGTTTTTCCCGTGTGGATAGTAGGAACAAGGTCAGAGACTTACCCCCGGTCGGAGGGGACAGGGATGGCAGAGCACAGTATCCATTAACGTCTTGCCAGGCCTCCTGCTACCAGCAGGTACCAGTCACTGGGCTGGGTTCTTCCCACCTTTGGGTCTCACGACCGCTTTGTGTGGCTGGAACCTGCTCTCCATGGGTGAGAAAACTGAGGCCCACAGGGGTTAGCACTTGCCAAAGGCCCCATGTTCTATCAGTGGAAGAGCTGAGGTCCAAACCCAGGCTCTGTGCTATTTGGACGGCACTTCAACATTGCAGATCTTGTGCCCTCCAGACCCCAAGAAAGTTTACAAATTGTTTGCAGCCCAAGCCCAGAAAGCGAAAATCTTTTAACCACTTTTCAAAGTAACTTGAGTCCATTTGTAAACCTCTTTATTTCTTTCTTCTCAACTCTCCTTTTCCAGCCAGCTCTGGGACAGACTCAGACTTTTCCTACTAGCCCATGGTTATGTCTTACTAGCCAAGCCCTCAGTCTAGTCCTACACAGACACACGGACACACAGACACACACACACACACACGCACACACACACCAGCCCACCAGGAACTCAGGAACTCAGCCCCACCCAGGCCACCTGAGGAGGAGGAACATGACTCTGGCAGCCTCCCTGTCTTCCATCCCTGCCCCTGAGCCCCTGTGTTCTTTGCTCCTTCCCTCAGGAACATCTGTGTCTCATCCCCACAGGCCTTAGGTTAAGCTGCAGAGTTTTGTTGGAAAATCAGGTCCTGAAGATTTTGCTCTGAAGAGACCTCAGTGGTTCTCCAAGGAAGGAGGGGCTTTTGCCACCACCCCCCTTATCCAAGCTTTCCATGAGGATGAGACTGCCTCACCCACTCTCACCTCCAAGCCGAGGACCACTTTGTGGCATGGGAAGTGTTATGAATGGGGATGTGGTGCATTTTTATGAATACTAGAGACAAAACTGAGAACTGCAGTCCAAGGTCCCAATATCCATGATTCTTGTATCCCAGTAAGCTAAGATTTTAGGTGCTATGATTGTCCAGAGAGGGTGTTTGGAGAGCACTGTTTGAGGGAATGACTCTCTCATGTAGAAATGCCAACATGTGGAAGGGAGTTAGCAGCAGGTGGCTAACCAACTACCTAGGCTAACTGTGGCCTGGTCCTGCGTTGGTCAGCCTTTGCTAAATATCCAGAGGGAAGTCTCCATCCCTTCTGTGCTCCAGTTTTTCCATCTACAAAGTGAGGAGGGTGTATAATGATTCACAGAGCCACAGACTCCAGGTCCCAGCTCCTGGGGTGCAGGGGGTAGTCCTAGGCCCTTCAGCCCTAGCTTGACCTTGAAAAGGTCTCTTAAGCCGGGAAAAAGGGCATTCTGCCAGGAGAATAGCAGATTCACTGGTGGCGAGTAGAGTGGGCTAGTAAACACGGGTGCTTATTTGCATGCCTGGATTAACAGAAGACCATGATACATGACAGCTTTGAAACTGGGTCACAGGAACACAGTGTTCCATGGTCCCTGCGGCCAAGCCCTGGAAAGCTGGGTTTTGCTAACTCTACTGCTCAAGTCTGCCAGCCTCCAGCAGCCCTCCTCAGCCTGATGGGAAGTTCCCAAAGCCAGGTGAGAGGCAGTGGAAGCCTCACTAGCTAGGAGAGTTGAGACACATTTTCGTTTCCTTTCCATAATGATAAATCTCACCAGAAGATTTGAGGACTGAAGCCTAAATGTGGTTGTTGAAGATCAGAAAATGTGAGGTGCTAACTGTGGCCCTTTCATTCCCTGCCTCCCCCGGCACCCAGCTGGGTCTAGAAGTCATCAAGTCTAACCCCCGCTGCACAGGTTGGAATGGAGTGGAGTCAGGTCTAGAACCCAGACCCCTCAGAGCCGAGCAGGCATCAAACTCCCTGGAGTAAAACTTAGAGTGAGCCCTTTGGGAGGCTTGTTCTGGCCTCGATTCTGAAACTTCCTCCCCACTTCCGAGAGGGCTTCAGATTCCACTGGCTGGTCCGTCCTGGTCAGAGGATATCCCTGCTGTGACTGGAAGGGCCTTCCCTGGATGGCAAAGACTCCTGAGGGAGAAATTCAAGAGCCTGGGAAGCTACAGCATGTGGAGGATTCTGTCCTGTAACTGAGGCTAGGGAGATGGACACCTGCCTGGTCTCACTGTCAAGCCCACAACAAATATCTAGATCGTGGCATCAGAAGCCCAGGGGATTCAGGAGAGGCGGGTTGGTGACAGGCCAGGACCATCTAATGAGCCCTTCCTTGGAAGCCTGGCTGAGCACCCCAGGCTCCACTGGGATCCTCTGGAAAGACAGGCTCATCTCCTCTCTGCCTCTGGCTGTGTCGGTTAATATTCAATGGAAGTTACATTAGGTCCCCGACCCTGCTAATACTGAGCAAACACTTGGAAAACATCATTCCGTGACTGAGCTCGCGCCGAGCACTGATAAGGCCAGCTAACCTTGAGGAGCCCTATCCGCAGCTGCTGACTGTGGCCCTTTCATTCCTGCCTCCCCAGGCCCTGCTGGGTGCGGCTGCTGCCAGGGAGGGGTGCGGTGGGCTGGGCAGGGGAGCGGCAAGGGGAGCTTCCCTACCTGGCATCTCTACTGTACCCCCCTGACTTTTATGCTTGGCTTTTAATGATGTGTAGAATCAACAGGAAGTTGAACTGCTGGATGTCAGCATTCCATGGAGACAGGGGGTGTGGGTAAGAGGGAGCGCTGTCTCATCCAGTGCCTACCGCGCGCTGGGCTACGCTAGGTTCCCGGGGGTGACAGCAGTAAACCAGAGTTCCGGCTGTCTGGAGTTTCCTGTGTTACAGGGATAAAAACAATAGAGAAATTAGCAAATAACGTTGCAATAAGTATCTTGAAGAAAAATAAAGCAGAATAAAGGGGCAGAGTCTGAAAGAGGAGCTGCTCTGGCAGATGGCGGGGGAGAAGGTGCCTGATACGGTGACATTCTGTGGGGGTGCAAAGGGAAGAGAGTTAAGCCCTGAGGAAAGGGGACTGCAGGCAGCAGGCATAACAGCAGCAAAGGCTCTGAGGTTGAGGGAGGCTTGTCAGGACAGAGACCATTTTGGAAGGGACGGAGTGGACGAGTGGAAGTTCATACAAAGCAGGGGTGAGAGGCAGAGGGGACATGCTCCAAGGGGTATTTGGAGGGTCCTTCTGTCTACTGAGAGGAGCTTAGCCCCAAGGATCAAGACCAGAAACCAGAGACCCCTGTGGAGGGTCTCCCTCATCTTGGTTCCTCCCTTCTGCCTCTTACCATCAGGGGCACCCGCTGGGCCTGTCCAAGGCAAGTGCTGGGCCCATTTTTTAAGGATTAGTGATGACAGGCCGGGTGTAAGAAAATGTGGAGAGGACCGGGGGGTGGGAAGGGATTGTACCAAGACCAGGCTTGGACGCAGGGAGGACTAGGAGAATCCACCTGCAGGTCCTGAGATGCGAGGGTATAGAGGGAGGAGGTTGCGGGGAAAGCTTTGGGTGGGGAAACTGAGGCGCCAAGAAGATGCGATTCCCACCAACACAGAGTGAGAGGCAAATTCCTGGCAGGAGCTCAGCTTTCTGCAGCCTCCTCCTCCCTCCTTGCTCTCAGCAAATCCTAGTTCCCCAGTCGGGCTTTGTGGGCTGGATGGTGGAAAGGCCATCTGATATCTTGGGCCTGGACTCAGCTGGGGGTAGGTGGTGGGCTGGGGGTCTGTGGGGACAGCGGCTCTGATCCCTGTCAGAGTCGTCAGTGTGGGGCAGGAGGGAGGTGGCCTCACCTTGCACACTGGGAGGTTGAGTCAGGAGCATGGTGAACAGGCTGCCAGGCAGGTGGGTTCTCCAGGTCACCCTGTCCACAGCTTGCCCAAGTTCAGGACTCCCTGGGTCAGCTCTGTGTCATCTGGAGTAGTTTCTTTTGCTTTTTTTCTTGTACATTTGCACTCGGAGAGGAACAGTCTTCTAAACAGAGCCTGGAGATCTGTGATCTCGGCAGAGCCCTCCTCAGTACTCCAGACCCTGCTCAGCCCTCTGCTGTCTTCCGTGCCCCTGGGCATGGGCCAGTCGTACGCACAGGAGCTCCCCACTGTGAGGGCAGCCGCTCTGGCGTCTGGAAAGCTCTCCTGCGAGCTGAGTTAGACTGCATCTCCCTATCTCCTGCAGGCTGAGCTGGGCTCCGTGCTGTGGATGCCCCCTTGCCCTGCCACCCCCACTGATGTCCTGGGTAGGGCTCTCTCCCCCACACCTTCCCTACCCCCTCCCTTCCCCCTCACCTCTCTCTCTGCCCCTCATAGCTGTCCAGAACGAGCGGGACCGCATCAGCACACGGAGGTCCAGCTACGAGGACAGCAGCCTGCCCTCCATCAACGCGCTCCTGCAGGCAGAGGTCCTGTCCCAGCAGGTATGGGCCACCATCACACCCACATCCCACACTGTGGGATCCACTGCGTCACCCACCACATCCCTCACTTCCTCCACCTGCACCCTTCCCAGCCAGGCCCTGGAGCTGCAGAGGGAAGGGACCTCAGACACCACAGTAGGGAAACAGTCCAATGTCATAGCCAGTTCAATAGCCAAGACAGAATTCACCCTAGGTCTGGGGTTCTCAGCACTGTCTAGTTCATCTGGCAGCTCACTCAAAGGCCAAGCAGGGCTTTGCTACCACTGAGGACCTAAGAGCAGCCCCAAGAAAACTGAGGATCACTGGATCCAGTTGGCAAATGGGATTCGGCCAAGCGTTTGTTACATGACCTTGGGAAAGTCATAGCAACTGGGTGCCAGTATCTTCATCTATGAGAAGTGGGTCACAGCTATTGCCTCACTAGGGGCAAGGACTCCTGGGCTCTAAGGGGCTCGTGGAGGAGAAGGCAGGGTCGGCAGCGGCCCATAAGGAGCCCGCTCCTTCATCCTGCAGTTCTCACTTCTCTCCAATGAGCTCCCTTCAGAGCTAGAAATACACACAAGGAAACGTTCTAGGGACCAGGCCTTGTCAAGGGACAGGAAGTGGAGGCTGCCACTTGCAGCGCTTTTCCTCTCCTGCAGATCACCTCCCCCGTCTCGGGAATCAATGGCGACATTCGGGCCAAGAAGATTGCCAACATCGCAGATGTGTGTGAGTCTATGAAGGAGCAGCTGCTGGTACTCGTTGAGTGGGCCAAGTACATCCCGGCTTTCTGTGAGCTCCCGCTGGACGATCAGGTGAGGATGGACATGTGCCGTGGGCGGTGTCGGACAGTGGGCCGCCAGGGTCCTGCCGGCCCTTTTGGGATGCAATATAGCAATGGACTGGTTTGACTTACTCAACAAAAAGCACATAGCACTCATGTGTGGCCAGAACTGTTTAAATTGGAAATATTAACTCATGAAAACCCCCCAGTGTCTATGAGGTGGGTACTACTACTCTTCCCATCTTAGAGGTGAGGAAATGGACAGAGAGAGGTTAAGTAACTCGCTCAAGGCCGTATAACTGGTATCCAGGACAGGTGGGATTAGAACTAGCCAGGGAAGCTCCAAAGTTCAAAGTTCTGGCTCCTGACCTCAGTGCTGCATAGCTCTCCTGGGAGGTATTGACAGGGACCCAGGCCCAGGGATGTGGAGATTGGTTTTAAGCTCTGGCTCTAAGGCCAGTTCCCTGGGTCATCCTAGACAAGCTGCTTCCTCTGTCCATTTTCTTATCTGCCCAGCAGGAATTATTCACTTCAAAGCGCAGTTGGGAGGACTCAGGGTAGACCTGGTGTTTTTTCTTTTACTTATTTTTTCAAAGAGGCATAAAGGTTTTTTTTGTTTGTTTGTTTGTTTTTGGCAGAACTTTAAAATACACCCAAAGAAATAGAGTGCAGGCCTTCAAAAGAGAGAGGAGTATCATATTCTGACACTGGGTATATTTACAGCAGTGTTGGGGGTAGAAATCTATAGAATCTTTGGAAAGAAGGAATTTAATTTAAGATGACAGGTGGCAACTCTTTCTGCAGGGGAAGGGTAATGAGTTTGTTTGAAAAGCACAGGATCATGGAACACATATAGTTGGACCACGGCTGGCCTCCCCATTATTGGTTTTTCCCTGTATTCATCCCCCTCAAGATGACTTAACTCAGCATTTTCTTCCTTGAAGTGCCTTCTCTGGAGCACTGAAAATGTCCCTGGGGAAAGGGGCTGGGGAAGGGTAGCCTGTCTGAGGACAGGTGAGCTCCTGAGATACTGCATGTGACAGCTCTGGCCAGAATAGTACTTGGCCTCCATGAACATGTTCCCATGTGGGCATGGAAAGCTGGACCAGGCCACCTGTCCAGCTTTAGAGGAAGCCTGGGAGACTGACAATGCATGCCCGCCTCTAAAAGCTTCCAGAAGACTTGCAGGCAGGCAGCTGCCTCTCTGTGAAACCAGGGCTCTCCAAATTCCTTTGGCTGGAGCCTCTCGGGCTGCTGTGAGACTGGCCAGTGGTTGGCTGGAGCCTCTCGGGCCGCTGTGAGACTGGCCAGTGGTTGCCCTAGGAGAATCCCGGCTTGGCTGCTCCTCAGCTTCACCTGCGGCTGGACCAGAGACCTCTTCCCTGGATTCTCCCTCCTTTAGGAGAATTGACAGGGCAGGGATCTTGTCCAAACTGCCCTGCCTTCTTCCCAGCTCCTTGTGCTCTGGCCCCAGTCCCTCTGCTGGAGAATCTGCATTAATGTTTAATCTCCCCTGTTCCTTCCCAGGGGCTCAGCAGGACAACAAGATACCCCCAAGCTGAGCAATTGTTAACCTCAATTTCCCACCCAAACCTCCCTGGCTGGGGCTCAGAGCATTCTCAGAGGGCAGTGATGGGTAGCCAGTAACACAGGACAATCATTAACACCACCACCCCCTTCCTGCCCACCCCCCAGCACAAGTGCCATGTCCGAGGTGGACCAGGACACCCACTCATGGTGTATAAGGAGCCCATCTTGCCCAACCTCAGAGATCTGGGGGCACTGTCCTCCAAAGGACACCATCCTGAAATCAACATTGCTGCAGAAACCAGCTTCCAAGTTTGTGTGCATCTTGGTTTGCGGACATCAGTCCACTGAGACCTAAAAGGTTGGGTACAACTGATTGAGGCCAGGGAGAGAAACTGACAGTCCAAAGCACAGAACAAGATGGCCTCAGAGCTGGGATTGAATCCAGGTCCTTTGTCTTGCAGTTTGGGAGCCAGTGCGTTGGCTGGAGCTCTGCATAAGCACCTGGATGATCTCAGGTGCTTGGTCATTAGCATCTTTGCTTCCCTTTGCACTGCTCTTGGCAATTGGGTTCACATCTCCAAGTCTTCCCATTTTTTCTCTTTAAGTACTCGTCTTAAGATTCTGGCTATGGAGGGATGGAAGGGGTAAGGACATGTGGCTGGCCAAGAGGGGGTCGGGCTAGAGAGGAGGACAAGATGTTGACTCGTGCATTCATTCCTTTTATGTCTTCCTTCTTTTCTCCCTTCCATCCATCCATCCATCCATCCAGCAAGCCAGCCAGCAAATAAGAACTGAAACTTAGTATATGCTAGGGTTTTTGCATGCCTTACAACAGCTTTACCTCCTTAGAAAGGCCTCCCCTTTACTCTCAGGTAAAGTAACTACTCCTGCCCCATTGCTCTTTGCCACACAGCCTTCCCCTTTCATTTTTTTCCCTCCCCTCTCTTTCCCTCCCTCTCTCCTTCCTCTCTTGTTTCCTTCTTTCCTTCCCTCACTCACAGCACAAGTCACCCCTGTCCTATTTCTTGCTTTTCTACTTTACATACTGTCACCCTACCCTATGCGAGTTCTGTAAAGTTAGAGGCCTTGTCACTCTTTTCACCTTTGTGCCCCATTGTCTAGAAGGGTCTGGCACTTAATAGACATTGAACATTGGATAACCAAAAGAATGAAGAGTCAGATGAAGGAGTGAACAGTAGAACTTGAACCTTTCTCAGCAGGGTTGCAAGAGAACCTGCCAACTCCCAGCCCCGCCTCACAGACTAGGTCCTTTAGTCTCGCCCAACTTGGGTCCTCACCTAAATGCTGAGGCAGATGGCTTCACAGGAAGGGCAGTGTCCGCCTGTGCCAGCTGGACCCTGACCTTGGGCTTCAGCCTTCATAGGCTGCTGCTTTTCCCCACAAGAGAAAGGGGTCTGGCCGCTGTCTCTGCTGAACCTGTGCCTCGGGGCAAGCCAGTTCTGAGAACCAGTATCCACATCCAAATTTCTGTAATGTTCTCTCAAAATCCTAGAATCTTACAATGTCAAGTAGATGGATGCCCTGGAGATTTTCTGGACCAGTGATTTCCCAAAGTCAATTGAACTTCTGAATCAACTGGGGAGCTTGTTGGATGCAGATCCCTGGGGGTGCTCCCTACACATCCAGAAGCAGAGTATCTGGTAGAATCTGTTTTCATGAAGTACCTTTCATGAGTCTCTGTGGCTGATCCAGGGGTAGCATTCTGGGACCCACGGTTTTAGAACACTTAGGTTCATAGACTATTTTGAGATTCAGATGAAAGTCTTTGAACTTCTTCAAAAGAGTGCCCAGAGTAGGTTGCCTACAATTGCTCCAGGCAGTAGATGCGGCCCAAGGACACAGCAATTCAAGGGCAGAGTCGATAGGAGCCATCCCAGCTCTGAGGGCCTATGCTCTGCTCATTCCTTTCTAGGTCCCTAGTTTTATCAGTCATAGGGGGCCGGGGGTATAACTCAGCGGCATAAGCACCTGCCTGGCAAGTGCAAGGTCCTGAGTTCGATTCCTGATACCAAAAAAAAAAAAAATCAGTCATGGGAGGAAAGCAGCCATTTTATGATGTCCGTTTCATAGTTCAGGCAAATAGGGGCAGCAGGGAGCATTAAGCTGCCCCTCCCAGGGCCGTTGAGTTGGCCAGAAGCAGCCTTCCCAAGGCTGTAGATGCCAGACTCTATCTTTTCTCTCTTCCAGGTGGCCCTGCTCAGAGCCCACGCCGGCGAGCACCTTCTGCTGGGAGCCACAAAGCGATCCATGGTGTTCAAGGACGTGCTGCTCCTGGGTGAGGAGGCTGCCTGGCCCAGATGGGTCTCCATGGAGGTCATGCCCTGCATGGCGCACACCCAAGCAAAGGATATCCTTGTGGTGACACTCAGGGTGAAGGGACCAGATCAAGGATGGCCCTGTCCTCGGGCTTACCTGACAGAGGATGCCAGGACTCGGCTCCCAACTGGATCCTCACCCAGATACCAGGAATTATGGATGCAAGGAATGAAATTTCCCCAGCCCTCAAGTTAGAGCCTAGTCAGAGTTATTCTTGGGATTATCCATGCATTCTACACTCTTTTAAGAGCAGGACCAAGAGGAGGCCAGGAATGGCACATGTCACCTGTGCCATAGAACACATACTATATACCAGGGGTTCTGCTGTATTCTTTTAATACAACAGTGCCATCATGGTGGTACACACCTATAATCCCAACACTCTGGGAGGCTGAGGCAGGAGGACTGCAAGTTCCAGCCCAGCCTGAATAACTTAAATACTTAGTGAGACCCCATCTCAAAATAAAAAATAAAAAAGGGCTGGGGATGTACAAAGGCCCTGGGTTCAGTCCCAGAACTAAACAAACGGTTCCCAGCTCTGGAATCTGGTCCCTTAAATTTGGTGTTTTTGTTCCTCCCAAGTGACCCTTGAGTGTCCTCAGTCTTGAGTCATGTTAGTAAAGGAATCCTGGGTTATATGAAACTTAAACTTGGCTAAAAAGCTAAGTTTCAATCATAACCCAATTTCAGGCACCTTTCTTATCTGAGCCTCTGATTTGTCATCTGTGAAATGGATGTGATGACCCTGCAGGTCCTCCTTCCAGGGCACCAGCTGCACTGCCACCTGCAAACCCCAGCCCAAGGTGACTGCCCATTCTCTCTCCTTCCCAACCCACCAGGCAATGACTACATTGTCCCCCGTCACTGCCCGGAACTGGCCGAGATGAGCCGAGTGTCCATTCGCATCCTCGATGAGCTGGTACTGCCCTTCCAGGAACTGCAGATCGATGACAATGAGTATGCCTGCCTCAAAGCCATTATCTTCTTCGACCCAGGTACCATTCTCACCTCCTGACCCAGGGATGGCAAACCTTTTAGAGCTTTCAATGATACAAACAGCCCACTGTGGCATGTGTGCCACAGGTTCGCCACTACTGTTCTAACCCATCCCTGATACCCCAGACCTGTGTTAGACTTCTGCTGGATTCACAGCCTCTTATTGTCAGGACACCAGGAGAGGTCATTGCATCAGCCCCACGGTACAGATGAGGCAAATCAAGGTTCAAAGAGATGACGGAACTTGCCAAGGCCCTGACTGCAAAGGCCCAGACTGCTCCTTCCCTCCTTTCCTTCTTTCCCTTCCTCCTTCTTTCTCCTTATCTCCTATCTTACTTTTCTTTCATCTTTGCTTCTTTTCCTCAAAAATCTTTATCAAGATAATGTCTACACAAACTGACACTGCAAACAGCTCTCTGCAACACACAGGGCTTTTCCAGCCTGAAGGCTGTGCCCCAGGATATACATTACTGATTCTTTTAACTGTTTCTTCTGCAGTTACCTCACCATTGGAAAAACTGTGAAGTGTTATATTTCTCATTCTGTTTGTGTGTGTGTGTGTGTGTGTGTGTGTGTGTGTGTGTGTGTGGTTTGCCAGGGATAGAACTGAGGTCCTTCCACACCTAGCAAGCCCTCTGCCACTGACCTGGTAGAACCCTTGCCCTGTAGTTCTTGATTTATCCTATTTATTTATTTATTTATTTATTTTTGGTGCCAGGAGTTGAACTCAGGACCTTGCGCTTGCCAGGCAGGCACTTGTGCCACTGAGCTAGATCCCCAGCCCCTGATCTATCCATTTTAGACCATGTATCTCCATCCATCCTGGCTAAGGATTTCACTCTCATCCATCACTGTTCCCATCCTTTCCCCCCCTCCATACTCCTCATGGAATTTATTGTTGTTTTCACACCTGGCTGATCACCTCTGCAGCTCTCAGTTATGTTTTCACACCTTTATTTCTGGTCCTGTCAGCTGTGGACAGTGTCTCCTAACCCTGAACGTAGCAGGAGAACATACTGCACCCCCTGCATTTTGGCTCTCTTCTCTCCTTTCCCCATTCCAGCTATTGACTTTTATATCTGCTTTTTTCTTTTTGTACCCGGAATTGAACTCAGGATCTTGGGCTTGCTAGGCAGGTGCTGTACCACTGAGCTATATCCCTGGCCCTACATCTGCTTTTTTTACACAACATCTTTGTAGTCACATCTTGGTACAAAGCCTATTTTCACTCCCCAGTGTTGAGGTGCTGTAGTCCCAGAGGTTCATATGTCTCCCTCCCCTCTCACATGTTAGAGGGGACCTACTGTGTGCCAGGCCCTGACAATGTACAGATCACTTCTGGTACTAACAGGAAAGAGGAAGACAATGACTCATACTGCTCATGGAATTTTGTTGAGTGCTCACAGCAGCATGATTTAAACACTTTCTGAAGATTTTCTTACTGATAATCTTCCTTATTGAAGTAGGTATTGCTGTGGGCTTCATTTTGCAAATAAGGAAATTGAGGCACAGGGTGACTGATCAACTTGACCAAGGTCATACAACCAGGAAATGACAGTGCTTTAATTTGAACTTCAGACACTGAACCATCTCTACCTAGCTATCTCTCAAGCCCAGGTTCTTACCTTCCGCACGCTATTCCCCATTTCCTGGAGGGTGAGACTTCTGGTTCTGACACTGCTGAGAGCCTGGCCTAGGCTGTATGTTCTGCAGTGTTTGGCATGAGGCTGGTTGCATAGAAATCACTCAGTCACACATGTGGGATTAGTGTGGGATCATGGTGCTGAGTCAGAGCCCACAGCCTGCTTGGGAAGGCAGGGAACTTAATCCAGGCCTGGTATGTAGGAGGTGCTCAAGGAAAGTTTGTTGACTGAATCAGAGTGCATAAACACAGGTAGGAGAGAAAGCCCACTGGAAACAAGGACAAACTTTTTCCGCCCCTTCCTTTGTTCATAATTATTTTCATGGAAGTTAAGGTTAAAGTACAAAAAGTAAAGTATTAGGTTAAGAATATAGAATTTACTCAGTAATTTTTTTGCATTCATCCTTTCCTTCCTCTCTCCATCCCTTCCTCCAGTTATCTATTCAGTAAATGTTGACTATGATAGAATCCGTGGTGTGATACAATTGGCAAACCAGGGATAGAGTCCGTGGTTTAAAATGGCAAATAAAGATATTAGTGCTCACAGTCTAATGGGAGAGATCATTCCAGGCTGCGTGGTCAGTGGTGGTAGAGGAAATGTAGGGACACGATGGATGTATAATGTGGACCTAGGCGGGTAGGGTGGAGAAGACTCCCTAAAGGACTCCCCACTGAGTCGGAGATGAGAGGAGCAGCAGGCAGGGAGAGGGAGACAAGCCCAGCGCAGCAGAGGAAGTGTGTGCTGGGGCCTGGCTCATGGGACCTCGACTGTGGGTCAGGAAACCGAAGTCAACCCCATGACTCTGCCAACAACTGGTTATGTGACCTGAGGCAAGTCCTTTCCTTGTCCTGTGCCTCAGTTTCCCTATGTGTAGGATGAGTGTGCCCTACTGGGTCTGTTCCTGAGACCCCACCATCTGTCTCTTATTCCCCACTGCTGCACTTGGTATCTTAGGAAGAAACTTGGTAAACTTTTCTTTACCCAGATCTAGGAAGGCTCTGTCTGGGCTAGTGTGCTCTGGTTGTGGAACACCCTGAACCTTTGTTCCAGCACTGCTGTCAACTCCCTGTGCAGCGCTGGGCCACTGAAACCCCCCAACCTGGGCCCCACAAGTCAGGGGACATCTGGGCCCTGCTTACCTCCCTGCCATCCCCTCCCACTGCAGATGCCAAGGGGCTGAGCGACCCAGGCAAGATCAAGCGGCTGCGCTCGCAGGTCCAGGTGAGCTTGGAGGACTACATCAATGACCGCCAGTATGACTCCCGCGGCCGCTTCGGCGAGCTGCTGCTGCTGCTGCCCACGCTGCAGAGTATCACCTGGCAGATGATTGAGCAGATCCAGTTCATCAAGCTCTTTGGCATGGCCAAGATCGACAACCTGCTGCAGGAGATGCTGCTGGGAGGTCCGTACAGCCCCGCAGGGGTGCTGGGGGCATCTGTCCGGAAAACAATCCTTGTGCAAACCTGAGCTCATCTCCGCGACCTCCTCAGTGTGTGCTCTGGGCAAGTTACTTAATCTGCCTGGCTCTCAGTTTCCGCATCAAAAGAATAGGGTCAAGGACAGAAGTCCATTAGTTCAGGCTCTGAGAGTCTAGCATACTCCAGTCACTGCTTTAAGTGCTGGAGGCTGGGCAGAGAACAAGATCTCTGCCTTCCTTCAGGGTGTGTGTGTGTGTGTGTGTGTGTGTGTGTGTGAGTTGTGTGTCTGTGTGTATACATGTGCATGTACAGGTGTGTGCATAAAGCTTATAAGCACAGACAATGAAAAAAGCAGACAGTGACCAAGTGTACAATAAAGAAGGTAACTTCAGATTTTTAAATACACAGTAGTATGAAATTCTTTTTTTTTGGTACTGGGAATTGAACTCAGGACCTTGTGCTTGCCAGGCAGGCACATGTGCCACTGAGCTATATCCCCGGCCCCAATAAACAGCAGTATGGTAGAGTTTAACCAAAAAAAGCCCTCTTTAGATGAGTTGGCCAAAGGAGACCTCGCTAAAGGGGTAAATTCAATGCTGAGACCCGATGGCCAAAAGGAAATAGAAGATTTAGAAGCCAAGAGAAGAACAGGCTAAGCAGAACTAACTAGTTCCAGGCCCTGCAGCAGGAGAAGGTTATGTGTTTGAGAAGGAAGGGCAAAGTTGCAAAATGGTAGAGTTGTAGGAAATGAAGATCGAGATTAGGGAAAAACAAAATCATAAAAATATGGCTTCATAGGCCACGGTCAAAAATCTAGATTTTATTTTTATTTTTATATTTATTTATTTATTTATTTATTTTGGCACTGGGAATCAAACTCACGACCTCGCACTTGCCAGGCAGGCACTTGAAAAATTTAGATTTCAGTCTCATTGCATCTATTGTGAAAAATAATCAGACTAATGTTTTAAACAAGCCACTCTGATTGGTAGGTACAGAGTAAATTTCAGGGGCACAAGGTAGAAGCCAGAAAACCCTGGGAATGTTATTCTCTCTAGTCCTGGGAAGGGCAGGGGAGGCTTGGATCATGGAAGCAGAGCAGTGTTGACAGACTTGATTATCTATAGTATTTGGAGGAAGAACCCACAGAATGTGCTGATGGATCAGAGGTGGGGAGTGACGGGGAGAGGATAAGTCAAAGGTGAAGTCTACATTTTTGCTTTGGGTGGCAGAAATGATGATGGAGTAGTTTACTGAGATATGGAACACTGAGTAAAACCAGCTTGGGGCTGCTCGGTTTGGGGGTGGTGGCCAAGGATCCATTAACTGGATTTAAGTGGAACCTGAAAGGACTGTTAGGTATCCATGCTGAGCCAGCAAGAAGACAGGAAAATGTCCAAATCTGAGGCTCAAATGCAAGGTGAAGGCAGCACTGTGGCTTTCCAGCATTTAGGAGTCACAGGAAAGGGGGAGGCTGTGGAAAGCTGTTGGGGAAGATTAGCCAGAGAGATGGGAGAAAACCGGGGAAATTCCAGACTGCAAGAGAAGAGCATGTTTTCAGGAAGACAGAACATTTAACGGCATTAAATTCAACAGAGATGGGGGAAGGCGGGGAGAGGGAAGGAAGCACCCATTGGGCGGCAGCATGGCGGCCCTCGGCACCTGTGCTGAGAGCGGGGTCAGGATTATGAGAATGCGAGCCAGACTGAGGTGTTACCAAGCGGGTGAGTGGGGAAGCAGACAGGTGGGGTCATAGCAGACACCCTCTGAAAATGTCCAGGGAAGGGAGGTCTGAGGCATTCAAGGATGGCCTCAAGCAGGGGATCACAGTGATGAGCTCTGGAATCCTGGCTGGACTAAACAAAAAATAAAGATGGGGTGACAGTGAGAAGTGGGGGTGAGCAAATGCATCACCTCTGTGGGTCTGAAGGACTTTGGAGGGGTGGTCCTGGATGGGTGAGCTGGAAGGACAGGAAGAGAAACCAAAGTGCAGAGGCTTGGGCTGGAGGCTTCGGTGGTAACGATGTTACTTTGAAGTTAACTACGACGTGTATGTCGTTAGTGGTAATGAAAGGTAATTTTTCTCAGCTTGAGCACTACCGATATTTGGGGCTGGATACTTCTTTGTCATGAGACTTTTTTGTGCATTGTCTAGCTATATCTCTAGCCTCTACCCATGAGATGCCAGTAGCACTTCTCTAGTGATGACAATCAAAGATGTCCACAGGTATTGTCACATGTCTCCCGAGGGGTCAAAATTATCCCCCAGTTATCCCCAGCTACTATCAACCACTGGTGGCTTTTTTCCCTTCAGTATGGGGGATTGAACCCAAGGCCTTTGCACTGAGCTACATCCTCAGCCTGCTTTATTTTTAATTTTTATTTTGAGACAGAATCTTGCTAAGTCACCAAGTTGTCCAGTGTAGGCTCAAACTTGTAATCCTCTTGCCTCAGCCTCCCAGAAAGCTCTGATTTCCAGTATGTGTCACCATACCCAGCTCGTAGCTTATTTCACTTTCGTAAGCTTATTTCACTTATTTCACTTTTTGACCCTATGAATATGTGGTTATTAGGAATCAGGTGGCATTGGGATTAGCCTAAGAAGTTTGTGGTCTGTTGCAAGATAAACTTGGGTAAATTAATCTCTGGGTACATTTTCTTATCTGTAGAATGGAATAACCATGGTATCCACCCTACAGGATTAAATTATGTAAAATAGGAAAAGTGCTATAAACTAGTACCTATCATGTTAGATGCCCAGTAATTGTTAGTTATCCTTAAAACAAAGGCTAGAAGACTATTACAAGGCTTAAAATGGCATCAATATCATATTAATGAGCACAACCTATGACACACTATGTTTTTATCACTCCTTGACTCCTGTTGAATCAGTTACTGTATTCCAGACACTTTCTAGGCCCTCTACAAAAAAAAAATGCATATATATTGTAATGATCATAGAAGTAGTTGTTTCCAAAATGTGCATTACAGATAAATTGCTATGGGAATCCCAGTGAAGGAAAGAAGGAGAGTAGGAAGCAGCAAAAGAAGCTTCCAAAAAGAGAAAATATGTGAGTGGGATTTGGGCTTAGGGACCTGGCAGAGGTGGAGGAGTCATCTCTGATGGCTGAAGCAACGTGAGCGAAAACACAGACTGGAAAATACAAGGGAAAGTAGATGCTCCCGGTGGGTCAGCTTGGCTGAAGGAGAGATATGAAGGATGAAGCAGAGAGAGGACTTGGGATCAAAGGACTCACCTGTCATGGAGCTTGGAGAACCACTGATTAAATCCATCGTATCACAATGCAGCCAACACACTATTTATTGTAATTTAAATGGTCTCAGGATTCCTTATATGCTTGTTGTTTCTTTCAAATCACGCTTGTTCTCTGGGTCTTTTACAATCCTCTTGATAGACCCACAAAACCTATGGACTTGAATAGTAAGCTCTGGCTTACTAACCTAGAACCAGGGAATTGCATAAGCTCTGGCAGGGTTGAGGCAGCTTTGCCACACTTGAGGAAGATGGTGCCTCTAGGCCCATGGTGCTTATCCTTGACTCTCCCTCCTGATTGACCTCTTCTCTATCTGCAGGGTCCTCCAGTGATGCACCCCATGCTCACCACCCGCTGCATCCTCACCTGATGCAGGAGCACATGGGCACCAATGTCATTGTTGCCAACACAATGCCCGCTCACCTCAGCAACGGACAGATGTGTGAGTGGCCCCAACCCAGGGGGCAGGCAGGTGGGCAACATGGGCTCTCCCCTGTAAGGGGTGAGGATTGGGGGTGGGGGAGGAGGCAGGACAAGGTTGGATCTAGAGGTGAAGCTGAGGTACCACTGTTCTCTGTGTCCCAGGGTAGGGAATGAGGGGTGGGGTCCTCTGTTAAAGCTGATTATTCATTGAGGGTGTATCTTCAGTGGGGTGACTGACAACCTCTACTAACTGTAACTATACTTGGGATGGGCCAATCCTCTGAATCCACCAGGTTACCACTGCGAGAGTCTGTTTATTGGGTGAGAATTCCATTAGATGACATTATCTGTTAGGTCAAAGTATCCATTGAAGTAAGGCTGCCCAACTGGGGTAAGACTAGCTGCTAGACCATGGGAGGAGACTGTCCTTTGGTTAGGGATGTCCACTGGACTAGACCTCTGAGGTGAACTCTCTCACTGCACATAGCTCTTCAGAGAATAAGATTACCAATGGGATTTGGTGGTCCAATCAGATGATGGCAGATGGCATTTCACTGAGGTTGTTCTTTGGGGAAATTGTCCATTGAATGGAGTTAGCCAGTTGGCTCAAAGTTACTTCCCAAACCTGTGGAGGGAGTGGAACCAATTAGTTTCTGTTACTCATTTCCTAAATATCAAAGAAATGGTTCTTTTTGTACCAGTTAACCCCAGATTCCATCAGCTGCTACTCTTTGTCCCAGGAAAGACCATCCCTATCAAATGTCTCGCGGGGGATGTCACAGGGCAGTCCGACCTGGACCCCAGTTTTGGGAGAAGCCACCCAAGTATCCATATAAAATGGTGGAGGAGATGGGTTGTCAGCTCTTCCAGGCCTCACAAAACTTAAATGTTATGATTTGGAACTTGCACAAGCCACTAGAGATCTTAGAGATTATCTAGTTTAATTCTCTCATTTTATAAAAGAGGAAAGTAAGTCTCAGAGAGAAGAAAGAACTTTCCTAGAGCTCTTCACATACTCCCCCAAAGCCTGGAATGCTGAGAAGCCTCTGTTTCTTTGTCCCTTCAGCCACGCCTGAGACTCCACAACCCTCGCCGCCAGGTGGCTCAGGGTCTGAGCCCTACAAGCTCCTGCCAGGAGCCATTGCCACGATCGTCAAGCCCCCCTCTGCCATACCCCAGCCGACCATCACCAAGCAAGAAGTCATCTAGCAAGCTGCCAGGGGCCGGGGGCTCTGCCAGCTCACCCCAGCCCCCCCAGAGAGTGCCTGGTGACCACTTGGCCATAGCCAAGGAAGGCATGGCAAGAGGGCCAGTTCCAGAGCAGGAACGGAAAGGGGGAAGGGCCCAGGAACGCGGGCCGAGGGCCATATCCCATCGCCAACCTTGACCCTGTGCTCTGGACGATAGGGCTTTGACTCAGGGAGACACCAGCTGGAAAGCCCTCTGCTGCCTTGGACAACTTTCTTCATGTCGAAGCTACCACCTTCACTTCCCACAACCCCAGCTTCTTCGCCCTCTAAGGACTGCTGGCTGGAGATGCTATGGGACCTTGCTTAGACACGGCTCCCTTCCCCCCAGCTGGGACTCGCTCTCCCAGTACTGGTCACAGTGTCCAGTCACAGCCCCAGGAGGCCTGGTCAGGTCACGGCACCTTACCCTCCCTCCTCTACTGCCCCCACCTCAAATGCCCCTCTCCACCCTCTGCTGTCACCTTCCTTGGCCGTCCTGTCTTCTCCAGAGCCCTCTCTCTGGAGGCTGAGGAAGACTTGGAAGCCATTCCCCCAGGCATCCCTGCAACACTCTGTAAGCCCTGACCGGGGCTAGTCTGAGGCAGGAGACTGAGGAGCAAGACAGCGCCATCCCCCCAACTCTGGGCCTGCTACCTTTCCCTTCTTCAGGTGCTGGACCGGACCCTTGGAGTGATGGTCCCCATGGGCTTTGAACAATGAGTGAACGATCCAAGGTTAACAGCTGGAGCAGGACTTGGGGGAGGGTGGGAGCATGGGGCCTTGAATGCCATACTGAGGCCAGGAGTATGTGGAGAGGGGTGGCCCAGGCTGTCAGAAGATGCATACAGCATCCTACCAAGCGTGGAAGGTTGGGAGGGAGCAGCAAGTCAGATGGGGCGCATGATGGAAGGAGAGTGAGAGGTTGAGGTGTAAAGGAGGGTGTGGATGATCCTCAGGTCAGAGTGATGTCAGTTATTCCAGGCCAGTCTCAAGCTCTTCCTCATTCCCAGGCACTGTCTTAAGCATCTGACTTCCAGTGTCTCATGGAATCCTCTCTATTACCTAGAGATTGTTACCAAAGATGCAGCTGAGTTCTAAGAGGTTAAGGGATTTTTTTAATCTGAAACTCATATAGATAGTCAGTGACTGAGTCAGGCCATGAACCCAGGTCTCCCTGGATCAGAACAGGAGATCTTAGTGTTTGTTTTCTGTTTTGTTTTTTTTCCGGTACCGGGAATCGAACTCATGACCTTGCACTTGCCGGGCAGACGCAGTGCCACTGAGCTAAATCCCCAGCCCCCAGAACAGGAGATCTTAATACCCAAAAGAACCCTCGTGTTCACTGTGATCCCAGTGAGGGACTTCCTGGTCCTTCACCAGCCTCAGAACCCAAGGGCTCACATTTCTAGAAGCCCTGCCCACTCCCAGGACTAAAGTGGGCCCGAAGCTGCGCTCAAGTCCACCGAGGGTCCAGAATCCTGTTGCTGATAAATATGAAGACGAATTCATGGCTCTTGACCCCTTTTCTCTCTTCACTCCCCAACTCTGGCAGAGGGGTGGTAGGAGTCTGGTTCCTGGGAGAAAAACCAATCTGGCCTGTCAGTCTCTAGAATGATGAAGGGCAGGGCGGGATGATAAAGTCTGACTTTGAGGCTTGCTCTGGAGAATGTCACTCAAGGTACACTCTGGAAACATTGAACTCCAGGATAGAGCACCTCATCCCTATAGAATCTTGATGGCTTTGGGGAGATTCTGAAAAATGTCACTGACTAGTGGGACTGAAAGGAATTTGTCCTAAGACTGTAGGTGTGATTAGGTAGGAAAGTGAGCTGTTAGAATGATTACCTATGCTCTGCCCAAGGCTGACCCTTCTGAGGGGATGGCAGAGCCATACCCCGTACCCAGATATCCCACCACTAGTGATTATTCCTTGTTGCAAGAGAGGCAGGGAGAAGCACTGGGGCCACGTTTCAGAGGACTCTGCACCCCAGGGCCATCAGAATTGGCCTCCCCACTCCAGCAAGGCAAGTCTCAGACTCCAGGAGTAACCACTCCCTGCTCGGAGCTCTCAAGCTTTCCCCAGCCACCCTCACTCCAGGGCTCCAGAATTCCCCGCCAAGTGGCTCAGTCCAGTCTGAATGAGGCAGGGAAGCTGGAATCTGGTCATTCTGGTCATTTCTACTCTTCGTCCAGTCCCCCTGTTGCCAGTGTCACTCAGGCCTCTGTCATGGGAGCAAAGTTGAGAAAATGGCCCATGGAGTGGGGTAACGGTATCCTTTAATGGTTGCAATCTTCTGGGGCAGGGGGTCAGTTCTTTGCCCCTGATCCACTCTTTCTGGAGAGGAAAACCATTCTACTTTTATAACTTTATTGCAATGCAAGAAACACAAAATAAAGAAAAGTTTACTTTTCTGGCTCTAAGCTGAGGATGCTACATTGGAATTTTTTTTTAACCCGAATTGTGATCTTAAAACATTACATCTGATGTACCAGGGAGGGTTGGTGGAAGGCAGGTGTGGACACTGTATAGTAATTCCTTCACTGAGACATCGCTTTGAGACATTTTCAGGAACATCCAAAATCCATGTAGCTCTCAGGAGAGGAGAGGGCTGCAGCTGGGTGCTCCTCAATTTCTTAGAATGGCCAAGCCAATCACCTTTGCCAATTTTTCTGTGATCTGCCCTAAGATGAATTGTGAAATTCACATCAAGCAATTCTGGAAGTGGACTGCGTCCTATCATGATCTGCATCTTCCTGTGGGTGTGTGGATGTCGTTAGGTCCCACGCCCACCCCCCAGCTCCCACCACTGCCGCCCAATGGGGCAAAGAAGCAAAAAACATTTCTTACTCATGTGTTTTAACAAAAACAAAAGTTTATACTACAATAAAATAAATGGTGCATATGTTTTCTAAGTCCTTGTATGGGTGTCTTTTTTTTTTTTTTTTAGGTGTTAGAAATAAAGATAGTTCTAGAGTCTTTATATTGTAAAAAACACTTTCTTATCCTTTGTGCATGTGTGTTTGAACCCAGGTTTGAATCCACAGCTTTCACATGAGCTACATCCCCAGCCCTTTTATTTTTATTTTGAGGCAGGGTCTTACTACGTTGCTGAGTTGCCTGGGCTAGGCTGGAGCTTGCAGTCCTCTTGACTCAGCCTCCCAGCATGCTGTCATGCCTGCCTCCACTATTATATTTTAGTCTTCATATCAAGACAGAAGTAGGTTGGGCCATATGATGACCTCCCATTGTATAAATAAGGAAACTGAGGTTCAGGGAAGTGATTTTCCTTGATGGAAGAGGTCTCTTGACTCCAAGCACTCCACATATGAGAGAGTGAAAACTGATCCTCTCTTCTACAGAGAGGAGGAACAAGGAAGAGGGTGATGGGAAGATCTGGAAGAATGCAAGAAGACCCAAGGGTCTGTCATCTGCCACCAGGGCCTAGGGTGGATCCCTTTTCTGGGTCACCTCAACCTTGCATAGATATGAGGAAATCTCATAAAAGCAAGAGTGAGAAGTGTACCTGAGAAGTCCCGGCCAGGCCGGCAGTCACTTTGGTCATTTTCCCTTAGTGGGGTGGCCTTGGGTCTTGGCCTCACGCTTACTTGGGGTGTGCTGGAGTGGCTTGTGAGATCCAATTCTCAGCTTTGCTTCTCAGCTCCACGTTTCGTGATGTCAGGTCAGTACCTCGACGGTGGCCACCGTGGAAACATTCACACCGCAACTGGCAAATGATGCAGATCAGGTTGTTTCTCCTGCACAGCGCATTGTCCTGGCACACCACAGCATTCGGTGATGGCTGAACTAAGGACACCTGGTTTAAGAGACACTCAAGGAGCAGCGTGGGCTGGGTGACACTCAGCTCTTCCCAAACGGGGAGGACAGCGGCTCTGGAATGGCAGTCGCACATCTCAGTGATCAGTATAATCTCAGGCCGGTCACTCCACCTCCCCAGCCTCCTCTGTAAAGTGGGAATAATATCTCCCCACAAGCAATGTTGTAGGGATGCAGTTGGATAAGCCATTGGGGACTGTACTAGACGTGGTACTAGGACAAATATAATCGAGAGAGAACAAATGAGCCCTTCACCCAGACCCTCCCGGTAAGAAGCTAACCATCAAGCCCCCCAGCCTCAAGAGCACCATCCCCTGCCTGCCCAACCCTGGGGCCACTCCACCTTCCTGTCCCTTCCCTCCACTCCTCAGTACCAGGAAATGTTTGTGATGATGTCGCAATGAAGGCCCTGTCCATGCCCTGCCGGTATGGCTACGGAGGTGGGGGCCAGGGGAGGCTATTTCAGTCCTAAATTGTACTTAATAAATCCCTATCAAAACAATAAACCCTGAGCTGCCATAAATGCTCCTTGACCTTGGCTCTTCCACCTGACCAGCCCTTTGCCCCAGTTAATCTCAAATCTCAGTGTGAGTGGCTGGACGTTCGTGTTTGGTTTCCACTCCGGTTGCTAAACAACATCAGCTTAGGTGACAAACACTAGCACCCCCATTCCAGAGATGATGAAACTGAGCTTCAGAAAGGTGTATGAACTTGTCCAGAGCCACCCAGCCAGTGAGGCCCTGGGCCAGGACTTGGGCCCATGTTGTGGCTATTAACCCCTGTATGCTGGCTAAGAATCAGGGCTTCTGGGAGGCCCCTCCTTTTAGCCCCACTACAGAGGTTTCTGGAGTTATGCCGCTAGAAGCTTCTTATGCCGCTAGAAGCTTCTTGAGCCATTATCCCCAGTGGAACCCCAGTGCTCAGGAACCAGAGGCAGAAGTGACCTTGCGTGATAGGCTGGTCGAAGAGCTGATGAAAATGCCATGCAGTATAAATGCTCTGTCATCCCAGACTGGTGAGGTTGCCCTACTCCCTCCTTTGTAGAACTCATATCACCTTTGATCTCAAATCAGCGAGTCATATGTAAATCTCAAGATGCAATCCATGAGATCAGAATCCCAGATGCCATGCAGCCAATGATGGTGGCTCTAAAAGCTGAATCATGAACAACATTCATGGGGTTGTTCCTCTCTGCCAAATGCTGCTGGACATAATTTGATCCCCACAGCAACCCTTGTAGGCAGTCCCTCTTATTCTGTTTTACAAAAGGGGGAAAAGGCTCAGGAGCAGGAAGGAGCTTCCCCAAGGTCCTTAGCTGATGTGACAGCAGATCTCAGAGCTCATCCGGCTCCAGAGGCCACACGAGGGGATGGAGGAGGACCCTGATGACTCAGGGACTGCATGATTGTGCAGTAGTGAGAACAGAGGGACACTCAGCATTTGACAAAGGCTAATGGGTGAAGCCCCATGGTGAGGAATCCTGAGATTAGGAAGAAGCAGTACCACCGGGTGATTCCCTCCTGGAGCCCACAGAGGGAAATATGACAAGCAGTCAAATATTAGGAACCAATGGAGCAAGAGTGACAGCCAGTGAGACATTTCCAGATTGGGAAGAGGGAATGATGTGCCCTTGGGAGGAGGAGGACCCAGCAATAAAGGGGCAGAGAAGAGACAGAAGCGCTTGCTGGAGGTGGAGGGGAGCAGAAGTGCTGTGCAGAAGTGGCAGAAAATCTGCAGGTGCGAGGGACACTTGGGGCCTGCATTTGCCCTTGCCTCTCTCTGGCCTGAGGACCACTGCACCTTCTGTTTCTTCATATTTATCTTTAAAGCAATTCATAATCACTCTCTGTAAACTTGAGGTCATTCACATGAATAAGAACACAGTATCACTGGCCATAAATAGAAGATGATTGCACAATTAAAGTGAAAAAGAAAACAACATTCTGTGATCAGACAGAATCGCCACTGCAAAAGCTCTGCTTGCCCTTTGTTTCTTTATTAAAAAGAAAAACTGAAATTATGCACAGTAGTGCATACTGGTGGTCCCAGTGCCTCGAGGGGCAGGGACAGGGGGATCACATAAGCCCAGGAGCTTATTACAACCAGCTTGAGTAACATAGTGGGGCCCTGTCTCAAAAAGAAAAAGTTGAGGGGAGGGATAGTATCACAGAGATGTAGAAATATTAAAGGGTTACACTTCTCCAATAGAGATTTTCTCCAAGTTTTCAGAAGGAAAGAAGACCTGTAAAAGGACAATGTAATTTAATGTGATTCCTGTATATCCTTAAAATCTGCCAGAATTCCACCGAGGCCTCACTCCACTTCTGGAAGGATGTTTGCTGGGGTGGGCACTCCTATGCAGAACCTAGGAGTCTGGAATTCATACAACGGAGCAGAAAACCACTGGAGAGTTCAGATCAGGGAAGGTTGCGGCCAGTCGCTCCAGGTACAGTGTAGAGGACAGATGGACTTGATATTAACATGGCTGGATCAGGTGGGAGAGAACATGTGCACCAAAATGGCGGCCTTAGAGAATGGAGCCAGTGCAAAAAACTCGTTCATTCATTCCACAAATAGTGTGTGAGCTGTGCTGAGCACTTCACTGACCCTGAGAGGTAGGCGGGGCCCAGACCAGATGGGTCATAACGAAGGTTTTAGATTTTATTTTAGGTACAATGGAAAAGTAAGAAATCCAGACCTTAGAAGTTTTTGAACACAGGAAGATGATAAAATGTGCTTCATATTTTTTGTTTGTTTGTTTGTTTGATGCCGCCTCAGCCTCCCAAGTATGTTTCATCCTCCTCAGGGGACTCTGCTCCCTAGAGAATGGATTACAGTGACAGATAGTAGAAACAGAAAGCTTGGAGGTGGACTGGGCAGCAGTGAGGTGAAAGACAAAGGCAGCATAGACTGGGGCTGGGGAGCAGGCAAAATTTGAAGCCAGCCCCCAGATTGTGGCTCCTAATGCATACACAATTTCTTTTTTTTTTTTTTTTTTTTTGTCTTTTTGAGACAGGGTCTTGATATGCAGTTCAGGCTGGCCTTGAGCTCACTTTGTAGCCCAGGCTGGTCTCGAACTCACAACGATCCTCCTGCCTCAGCCTCCCTAGTGCTGGGATTACAGGTGTGCGCCACCACACCTCGCTGCATACACAATTTCTCTCTCTCTCTCTCTTCAATCAGACACTAATCTAAGTGCTGCTGTGAAGGGATTTCACAGAGTAATTAAGGTCCCAAACCAGTTGACTTTGTGATGGGAAGGTGAAGTGATGACCCTGTATGGCATCACTTCATCCCCAGAGCCTTAAAAGGGGTTGGATTCTTCCTGACAAATTAAATTAGAAGTTATGAGAGGGATTCCATGTGAGAGAGGTTTCCTGCTCTTGCCTTTGAAGATGGAGCAAGGCCCCATGAATGTTGGTGACTTCCATAAACTGAGAGTGACCCTTGGCTGACGCCCAGCAAGGAAACGGTGACCTCAGTCCTACAACCATAAGGAACTGAATCTAGCCACCAACAAACATATGTGAGCTTGGATCCTTCCCTCCAGGCTTTAAGGAGGACACAGCCCAACTGACACTTAAAC